ACATCAGTAAAATGCCATATAATCATATGTAACTCATTAAATATCGAAGTTAGAAGGAAAACAACTTCTATTTGAAGCAAGGATTACTTACCTTATCTAAATTGTTATAAAAATCAGTCTTTCCCGCACAAAGATATCTCCCGAGAAGAGTGGCGTGCGTAGTGAAAACTGTGGCAACGTCCACGTGTCTGGTTCGCAATGCGATCAGCCCGACACCGGCTTGCCATTCGTGGCAATGAACGACGACTCGAGGAGGAACATCCGAGTATCCTTCGGCAGCTTTTCTGTAATAAATTAACATTCACAGTCTTTGTTACGAATGACAACAAAACTTAGATTTATTGCAAGATTTACCTGAATTCTGAGATAAACTGACAAACGAGATAACCGAGTATAATCGCGTCGTTCGCTTCTATGTCTAAATGAGGAATACCGAGATTACAAGTATTCCATAATTCTTGCTTGTACTCATCCAACTTCCATGCTGCGCTTCCAATATCAAAAAGAATAATTTGAGGGTTCCCATCCACTAACCACGTTCCTGTTACAACCTCAATAGCAGCTTTTATTTTATTGTAAAACATATTTATTTTCAGTTATGACAAATAGAATGGAGTGTTTGGTTGCAGGGCAATTGCCCTTGAATTAATTTTGGCCTTGCACCTGGACATCAGCCAAATTTCTATTCTAGGCGTAGGATTTAACTAAGCGTATTATCTTTATTGAAACTAGAAATCCATTAAAATTACTGAGATTTGTGCTCCATTATATTTTTCATCGCTGTTAATTGGACATTGCGAACGATGTTATGTAAACTTACTTTGAATCCCTGTTCACGTAACACTTGCACTGCTAAATGCAATGGATTGTTATGAGGGAAGTCAGCTTCCTCGACTTCTGTTCGTGCAGAAGTCTCTTTGTAAGGCCCAATGAGACAATATTGATCCCCCATTTCCTCCGTTGATACATAAGCTTTCGATCGTATTACCGTGTATATACCACCGACTGAAAAGCAGAACGATTGATAGGAACAGGCAGTTAAATGTATGAAATTAATACAGAAGAATGTGTACCTTTGTTGGCTGCCTCCCATGCGACTTCGAAATTCCATCTATTCTCATTCTGTGCCGAATATCCACGATCCATAAATTCAAATAAATCGTTGCAACTGTCCATACGATAAAATCTTCGGGATACACGTTGTTCCCTCGACATTTTTCTGGATTTCGTACAATCTGCACGTGTGAAACAAGTATAATTATGTTATGATTTACAATTATAGCGCATTGATGAAATTCCGGCCGAGTTTATGGTAACTTTTAATCCGCGCGTATTATATTCTACTTTTAAAATATAATCGAACTCGCGATACGTTTCGTTATCGGAAATTCGAATATTTATTTCAAGTTAAATCTTATTCAGATTAAGATCGACCCGGCACGTGTGTTATTTCGTGAGCATAAAACTTTCCGCCGAGAGATACAAGTGAACTGATTAAGTATCGTAATCGAAAGAGCAACGTTATGTCATGAATGAATTCATCAGAGGTCAATGACAGTGTAGAGTATTGCCATTTTTCTGCGGGAAAGCCGGTTCCGTAAAATCGTCGGAAAACAAATGATGCTTGCTCGTTCGAGAACGCAGGAGATGCACGGTATTGTTTGAACTGCTTTGTTATAACTCACTTGTTTACTGGCTTAAATAATCGTGCAATAATTGTCGACGTGCCGAGGAGCGAGCGGAACGGGTGGGTGGACCACGGTCGGGAACACGGATCTACGGTCAAGTTCGCGTGAAGGTCACCACAAACTAGAAAAGGTCGCGAAGTCGCAAGGGCTCGAAACCGGGAGCGGGGCTCGCGCCGCGCACTATGGGCTCTGCTCGGCCCCGACTTCCAAGTTCCAATCAATTCCAACTCGACGGGTCTTCCTCGATTCACTGATAAACACATCGCTTCGTGCTTCTTTCATAACAATAGATGGCACGATATACATGTCAGTGTGATTGAATATCTAAATTATAAAATATACATATAAATTAGCATTCCTGAGCGCAGAGACTTTGTTGGTAATAGAATGCAACAGAATAGATCTTATATGCATGTAAGATCTGTCCCTGAACTGAACTCTGAATCCACTACTCCTAGACATGATCAGAATAAAATGACAACACCGCGGGAGTCTGACTTTCGTAGAGTGCAACCAGAGACAAGGAAGATCTCTACTCAAACCATAGACATATAAGAATAGACCGCACTAGCAGTCCGAAGAAGCGATAGCAGAAAAACAGAGAAAGAGAATCATATAGGTCCCATGGAACTGAAGGAAAAAGAATGTATAAACTGCTTTTATGGATGAAGGGGGGTGAAGCTCCTTCCACCCCTTCCACGAGCGTGCTTCCTTTTCATTTACTTGTATATAATATTTTATACATTTTTTAACAATGCTGATATTATTGAGCGTACTGATGTAACCAATTCATTTAATTAAAACAATAAAATTAGATAACTAGAGACAAAAATTGACGGCAGTGGAATCAAACCTGGATTCTATGTTTGAATAAATAAAATATTAATATACATTAATTATGTCTTTTTTATTCATATTTATTAGTTAATTATAGTAATTATATAGTAATACAAGTAATAAAGTTCAATTCAATCAATGTGCAATTTTTAACTTTTGCGCTTTTATGTTTCAATCAATCATTAATGCGCACCACAAACCATGTGACTGTATTCTCCTCACCCCGAAAGCAGCTTCACACCCCTAGACTAAAATACGGGTTTATGCTCCATCCCTGTGTTCCTATATCCATTATGGTGTCAGATCCCTGTAAAAAAACAGTTGGAGGCTGCACCGGCTGCACTAGTATGGGGAACACGCAAAACCCGGGCGTGAGCACTCTTATTTCCTCTCTGTCTGTATCTATAAATGTTTCAGACACTTGATATGCATTCTCTTGTAAATGTTCACCTTCTATTATATTGCTTTCGTCACTTTTTTCACTTTCTATTACATAAATTACATTGCTTTCGTCACTTTCTTCACTTTCTATTATATTACTTTCATTACTTTTTCCACTTTCGACACAATTAATATTCCCTACTACTGATTCTTTTATCACGTTTTCTGATGACAGATTAAACAAATTTCTGTTTGGAATTGCTATCAAAGAAAGCCTCCGTCTTATTGTTTGTTCATGACAGCCTGGAAATGATTCATCGTCAAAATGTTCACTACATACATAAGCAGTTTTGAAATTAGGAACTTTATTTAAATTAATTGCATCAAGCCATTTTTTCCTTAAGGATTCGTTTGTAGGAAACCTGCATGTGACAAGAAATAATTTATAAATATTGCATTTTGAGTTTAGGAGCTACACAAACTAAACGTTGCAAATAATACAATACTTACAGATGAAAAGTACGATCAGAAATTGGACTTGGCTTTGCTTTGCAAATGATACATTTTTTCACCATGTCGGATAAGTATGAAATATTGTATTTAAACTTCTTCTCCTTAGTCGCTTTATTTCCACTTGATTATAATGGATCATAAGACAACTAACGATTAATAGGTTACTCGCTCGCAGACATACTATACACAGGAGAGATAGGTGGAGCAAACACGGTTAGCCAAAAACACAGAGACAGGCCTATATGATTCTCTTTCCCTGTTTTTCTACTATCGCTTCTTCGAACTGCTACATGTTTTATACATGGATATAGGAACTTGCTGAATTTTTGCATCGAATATGCAATTTAAAAATATTCTGACATGTTCTGATGAAATCCGATCTTTTTCGTACCAAAAATATCGAAAATTAGAACAGAAAGAAATATTTCAATCAACTAATTTTTGAATTAACTCTGTTGAGCCAATCCCAACAATCAGCCGAAACTGAATTGCCAGGCTGACTCGAGACGGAATCGGAGCAAGCCCCGAACTCCGTCAAAACATCAATATGCCATTTCTCCGATAACTGTTTGAATTTCGTCGGTTCTTTTAATCGTCACTGAGCATATTCTACCTACGAGTTAGGGTTCATCGACTAAGCCACCTAGTACCGTAAGCTGTACCATCAACGTCTGACAACGTTTGGATTTATACGAATTATTTTATTCTATTTTATATTTCCAAGAAAAACTGACATTTTCTTCGGAAGATAAAGACTGGGCAAGTTTGAGGTACCCATAATGTTACGGCAGTGATGTAAGATTTGCGGAATTTCGATCGCCGCGCGTACGGTGAGGAA